TTTTTTTCCAGGATAAGAAAAGATTTTCACATGAAATTATTTTTTGTCATGTATTTTGCTTTTCTTTGTTTTTGTATTTAAAGTACTTTAAACATATTGTTCAAAACCTAGTGTACATAAAGAGATAAATCAGAGGGAAAGTAAGTTCATAAAGTAATATCCCATGGATTTAATACCCATAGTAATAATGTATATTTTTTTATGATTAACCTTTTAAAATGCTTGCATTTACAATATTATGGTAGCTCCAAGTTCAGTTTCTTAGAAAGACTAAGGAAAAGTCTAATGATTTCAGATAGTTTTTATTGTTCAGGTTTTGAAATTTGAATCAGAGGTCCTTCTAATAGCATGGGTAGGCAAAAAGTATAGAAATTTTTTGACTCAAAAACAAAGCAGGTTTTAGAAACACATTACTCTGTGAAAAAGGACTTGGGAATGGGAAATGGCAACTTTTCATATGCAAAGCATATAGAGGAAATTATATGACGGAAGGTAAATATATATATTTAAGTATATATAAGGTTTTATCTCCCTGTGTGCCCCCGTGTCAAAGTCAACTCAGTTGTACCATGGCTTCATTGAGAAAGAAACATGCAGTTGAGAGGAGGGTAATGTTCAGTATCTTTGTGTTTGGATATTACACTTAATGCACTACAAACTGAACGTCTGTTGGAGTGTGCAGTCATGCAGCATTAATGCAGTGGCAAGTTCTTGTGACACTGAGTGATTTAATATTTTGCTTCCAGGGCATGCCTGAAGGCATGATCTTTGTAAATAAGTATGGAGTAGAAGCCTTATGTGTGCTCCCAGGCAGAACTCCTATTTTGGGAGTTGCTTGAGAGCTTTTTACAGCAAGCACAAAGTTCCAGGGATTGCATAACAAGCCTATGGAGGTACTGTTGGGTTGCAGTGACTGTAATGACCATAATCTGAGTGAAAACCTTCATTGGATAGTGAAAATTCAAACTACATAGTTATCAGAAACTGTTTGCAGAATGCAAATGAGGACATAATTATCTTTGGGCATATGTTAAGGAGCAAGAAATCATGGCAATTGAGCAAGAAAGCTTGTTTATTCCCACAGAATATTTAATGACATGTGATGTGTCTTAGAGTTAGACATCTGTGTCCCAAGTTTACCTAAACCCTCAACAACACACAGTTCCATCTTTTGACTTGCAATAGGTGCTTCATCCTGTTTGTTTATGTGGAATTGTAAGTTGAGTCTTTGTGCAAACTTGTAATGCATTTTGTAAAACTTCGGCAGTGTACCTCTGCACCATTTGAAGTCATGTAGAATCTTCCCTTTCATCTTTGTTTTTTTCAAAAGTAAATATTTTATAACATAATAGTTCAGATTTATTGCAGGACTCTTGCTGAGGGCCTGTATCATTTATTCAAAAGAGCCATTTTATGTTCTCAGTAATATATTTTTAGGCTAATGAGCCTCATGAGTGAAGCAGATCAACAGCATTCCTCAAACTTTCCTGAGAATGTTCAACACCTGCTACCATGAAAGCCTCTTAGAGCCAAGCAAGACAAGAAAGTAAACCAGCCTGAGCACCTGGAGGCACGGTGTAAAGGCAATATCTTGGGTGCATGGGAATGAGAGAAAGCACTGTCTATCTGCTAACTGAAGTGATATGGTTGTTCCGGCTTTAGTCTTTAGTCTGTGGTGCTCAAACCATAACAAATCCTTTACCCAGTTCTGGAGGCAATGGAACAACATCAGGAAAATTATTTGTATCATCTCTACCTTCCCTTTCCTTGAAGCTGAATACTAATGCGTGCTGTGCTCTGTGGAGAGGAGCAACACACTGAAATCCTGCCAAAGGTGAAAAGAAGTCAGGCTGCGTAAAGGAAGTAAACCAGCACAAACCCTCTTTTATGCTTCAGATGTTGAAGGGTTTTTATCTGCTGTGGGTGTAACATAACACGGTTGAAAGCAGCATTTGGTGTGCAGAGCTTGTTATGATAGCTCAAGGCCTAGTGTAAATTATGCAAAACAATTCTGAGATGGAACCTATTGGACTGCAGTTGTTTTCTTGTGAGTCAACTTACCCTGTTTTACCTGTTGTTTTAGAACCGGCATTACCCAGAGTCGCAGTTCTCCCTCCTTGAACAAGCAACTCATAATCAACATGGAACCTCTGCAGCCTCTCCTTCCATCTCCCTGTGAGGAGGAAGAGGTTCCTTTAGATGAAGGTGAGTCACCTACCCGGTTCTTACCAATATTTATTATAAAACATTTGGAAAAGATGTGTTACTGCCTCAGAGATACAGAAAACATCTAATGATTTCCATTGGGAGTACATCATTAAGCCTTTGCACGTCATACTCAGAAATGATCACTGTCTCAAGAAACTGTGCACAAGCCTTATGTAAGTTTCATTGTGAGAGAAAGTTACTGCTGTTATAGTGTCTGTTGCAAAAATCTTCTTTTAGATTGTCTGTGAAAAGGTTCTTAGGAAACAAATAATCTCAACATTTTATAAAATAGTAACTCCAGCTACTCAGGAGTGAAAACTGAGAGTTTACTGCTAGGTATGTTGATTTTCTTGCTCCCATTCATTGTTATATTTATTTATTTCCATTTAAATGTTAGGAAAAACTCTGCTAATTTAATTCCACTGACAAAATGGGACGTTATTTGAAGGTCAGCTAGGAAAGATTTTCTGCTAATTTAATCCTTTTGACAAAAAGGGATGTTACTTGATATTTTAAAAGTCACATTCTACACCTTGCTTTTTGAGATCCAGTCATTACAAAGAATGATGTGAACATCTTAGCCAGCTTAAATGAGGATAACTGCATTCTTCCTAGTAAAAAAGAAGCCAACTAAACAAAACCTAACAGTGGTTCTTAAGATGTAGTGAGCTAATTGTTTCAGAAGTTGGGAAATATAACTTTTGCTGTTGCTTCATTATGGTCAGTTAATGGGAAACTGAAAATGCCTGAGAGTGTATCTTCATTTTCCTGGGAGTATGTCCTAATTTCATTTTATAGGACTTACATGAACATGATTTGTTCATTCTTCAGTTTTGACACTGAATATAGTAAGAGCAGCAGGACTTAGATTGTCTGTGTGCATAGCTTATTCTAAGCAGTAGCAACAGCTGTTAATTTTAACAATTACTTGTTTACCTCTGCTGTGAAATACCTGTATCTGAGAATTCACTTTGTCACAGCCAAGTACCACTGCTGTGTTTCTGCTATGCCTGCAGAGTAACAACAGCTTGCTGCTTGTAACGCTGCTGTACCACACTTACAACTCTAAGCAGTGAAACCCATTTTTGGAAACTGGTGACTTATCATTGCTATATGCTCACCAGACAGTGCTTATTCTAAATGTTTGTATTACGTAAATTTGAAAATCATAACTCCTTTTAGTCAGATTGCTATTGATAGAAATACTTGCTGGTGGATTTCCTGTATTTCCTGTATATTCCTGTTATGCAAAGCGGAATGCCATAGTTAAACAGTATTTAGCCTTTTCCGTCTTTTACTGCAGCAAACTTGGCTATACTATCAAATTGCATCTTGAACTGATCTCACAGCTCTTTGACACTTACTTTCTCCCCAACATGTGCTCAATCCTCTTCTGTGTATTCCCATCTTCTCCCTTGTACCAGCACCAATCACCCTAGAGTGAACTGGGAGAAGGAGTTTTTTAAAAGAAGTAAAATTAAACCAGCAACATCAACAAAAACAAACCAAAACCCAACAACAAGCCCTTAACTGTACAATGTCCTACTAGTGCCTGTCTCAGCCTTTGGATGGCTCATCAGAGTCAGTCAGGCAAGGTCGTGTGCGAGAGCAAGGGTACGAGCAGAGGACGGGGAGAGGGAAGGCTTCTACCCTGAGACCAACACAACTGCATTGGGAGACTGCTTATAGTGTACTACATGTGTGAAACAGCCTTAGTGTCTCTGTATATATCTCCAGCCAAATAAAGCACCCTTTCTCTTTTGTTGCTCCAAAGGCAAAAGTCAGTGTCATCAGTCAGATAGTTAGTTCATGCATGAAATCCGAACACAAGTGACTGAAAAGAACTTTTCATCACTTTATCAAAACCACATTAATATCTTGTGACTTAAGAGGCATGGTTTTGCCTTTTAAAAAAAAGAAAAGGTCTACCCAAATGTAGGAAATCCTGAGAGCTAGAAAGACCAGAGATAATGAACTACCACCTGCAAAATAATTGCCAGGTGATTGGGACAGGCAGTAATCTGTCTCACCAAAATCAGATGGTGAAAGAAGGCAGCCACAGAATCCCTAGAGCAGTAGGAAAAGAAACATAATCTGTTCAGCTGCAAGTGGAGCAAGTACCTTGGAAAGGACCCTTTGTACTCAGCACTAGTGAGGCTGCACCTCTAATCCTGTGTTCAGTTTTGGGCCACTCTCATCAAAAAATGACATTTTAGTGCTGGAGAATGTCCAAAGAAGAGCAACAGAGCTGGTGAAAGGTCTGGAGCACAGGTCCTATAAGGAGCAACTGAGGGAGCTAGGGTTGTTCAGCCCTTAGAAAAGGAGGGTCAGGGTAGACCTTAACACTCTCTACAGCTACCTGAAAGAAGGTTGCAGCAAAGGGGAGGTTGTCTCTTCTCCCAGATAACAAGTTATAGGACAAGAGGGAATCACCTCAGATTGCAACTGGGGAGATTTAGATTGGATGCTAGGAAAGTTTTTTCACCTAAAAGGAGTAAGACTTTGGAACAGACTGTCCAGGAACATGGTTGAATCAACATCTGTGGAAGTGATCAAAAAGCATGAGGATGTGGCACTTCAGGACATGGTTTAGTGGTGAACATGGTGGCTCTGGGTTAGTGGTTAGACTTGATGGTCTTAGAGGTCTTTTCCAACCTTATTGGTTCTATGATTCTGTGTATAGGAATGAGCGCTGACCCACTACTATCGGTCTAGTTCTGCCTGTGTGTTTGAGTTCTCAGCCATGTAAGCTCTGATTATAGAGGAGAGGCGTATGGAGCCTTTGTAGGTACAACATTTTTGCAAAAAGTTTTTGTAGGTACTCTCTTGATGAGAGTTAGTAGAGACAGGGAGTTGCTGACTCAGTTGCAAGATTTCAACGTAAGTCTCCCTTACTTATGTTTACATGGTTTATGGGGAGTAGCTTGAAATTGCACAGTAGTTTCTTTTTTGCATGAGCATGGTCACATGAAACATAAATGATACATACTTATTCATCAACATGGGTCTGCAGGACTGGAGCATATTTTGGCCTTTTTTTTCCACTGCACTATGTTTTGATGCCTTGGTTACTTTTATGCTTGTGTGTGATTCAGCTGTTATACTAGCAACTGCTAGCCGAGATGAATGCTAGTGAAGTCTGTAATGTACGTAATGAAGCATTTGGAAATGTTTCAGATGTTGGAAGTCTTTCACAGCCTTGTTCAGATGACATTTATATAATCCTTTAGGCTTTCCTATGTGTATTGAACACATTGGTGGTTAGATTTTTGTAAATATTTATGCTTTCTGGTTTTTGTAGCTGTGTACACAATCAAGGCTCTTTTCAGTGGCATTTTAATGATTCTCTTTTGGTTGCTACAACAGTTATGAGAGGAAAAATGAGAAAATCAATCAGAATCTTATTTTTTAAGTGGTGGAAAAATGGAAAGTGAAGGGGCACTAGATCTTTCCTCACATCCACAAGAAAATTCTTGCAGAGAAGGAAAGGAGGAGAGAAATGTTTGCTCTGCAGGAGGAAGGAGGAAACAGGACTCCTGCTGGATATTTGTACTATACAGGCTGGCCTGGGAAAGGGGCCACCATAAAGATGCTTTCCAGAAGCTCCACTGAAGCAGATGTCTTTCATTGGAGAAATGACTTGTTGTAAAATAGGTGTTTGCAGGACTCTTCCCCCTGCCCCTTTCTTTCCCTCGTATTTGCATACATATCATAGATTTTTTGGTACACAGGTATGAGGACATCAGATAATTAAGAGATAGCACACACTGTAAACATTATGGGTGAGTATTCTGGAAAGTGAGAGGCTGCCTCCCTGTCAGTACACTCCTTCCAATTTATCTCCTCTCTGTCATTTCAGTAAGAGCTTCTTTCCCACTAGAACTGTGTAATGTTGTGCACGTGGTTGCCTTCCAGCTTCCAGCTGAAGCAAGTTATCCATACCCAGCATATGTATGTAATGCCTTTTTTAGGAACCTGCATATCTCTGCTGGATGGGACCAGGGAAGTGCCTTTGAACCAGGACCTCTTTCTGATGGATATAAATGTGCCCAGTAGTTATCCACAAGTGGGGACTGGAGCACACATGCAAAGAGAGAAATTCTTCCCAGACTTAGGAATTTTCTCTTCTTGTTTATACACAGGCAGGCCAGCTTTCATTCAAGGCTTGGAAGGAAAGCATTTTCATCTCATTGTTTTGCTTTGTGAGTAAGGTTTGTAAGCATAGCGTAGGATTTTTCCTTTGTATCTATACATGTTCCACAAATAATTTGCAGGCAGTGATGGGGACCTGTCATCATTGGCCAAATTGAAGCTTTTTAGAAAAATAATGTCCACGGTGACATTTATTCTGTGAAAAACAGACTGTAAATGCTGGCCTTTTTTACACTGCACTATGTTTTGATGCCTTGGATATTTTTATGCTTGTGTGTATGGGTCAGCTGTTATGCTAGCAACTGCTAGCTGAAATGAATGCTGTGGAAGTTTGTATTGTACATTATGAACCATTTGGAAGTGTTTAAAAATAACCACTGGTTCTATTCCCTACTGGGATATTTTAGTTGGCCATGTTAGAAGCTTGTCATTTGATTCATTGAGTGGCTTGTGTTAGTCTCTTAAAGCTCAGTGGGAACTTAATAAAAGGTCAAAGCTGGTATGGGCAGTGCCTTTACAAGACTTTGAGAAGGGGAATTAATAGTCAAAATGGTGAAATGTCTTGTAAAAATCCAAACCAAGAGAAGCATTCACTTGCGGATGGTTAACCACTGCAACAAGGAAGTGTGCGTTCGATTACTGCGACATGGCTCCAAGATCACAGCCAGAAGGGCTGGTAAACTTGCATTTATTTTACTCAAACCTTTTTTTTTTTTTTAATCCCCCTCCCCCTAGTTTGTTATGTTAATAGTAGTCTCTTGGAAAGGAACTGTACTGTGAATGACAATGTTGCATTGAGTACACTAGAGAATAAGGACAAATTACTGACAGGAACAAAGTTGCAA